CCCCCCCCTTGAAGTTGAAAAAGTACGGACTCTGCCACGACTACTTTCCGTAGCACAGAATCCCTCTGAACTACTTCTCGTAGCACAGACTCCCTCCTAAAAGTAGTCGTCGTTGGGGGGACTCTGCCACGACTACTTCTCGTAGCACAGAATCCCTCTTGAAAGTGACGACTACTTCTCGTAGCACAGAATCCTTTTTACCGGGCCTCCCAGAAGCACTCCGTGCTACGAGGGAAAGTAGTAGTAGTCGTGGCCCCCCCCCCCCCCCGGGGGGGGGCCCCGCCCACGCCGCGCCCCCCCCCCCCCCCTGCACATTGAAAAAGAGGAGACCCTTCGGGGGCGGCCTCGCCTCAGACCGCCCCAGTCGGGCAGGCCTGGCCTTGGGGCTCGAGACTGGACCGAGAGTGAAGAGTTCGATAGGTGCCATGTCCATGTCCCAAGCAGAGGACACATGGCTGTGGGTCGAACCGGGACACCCTGGTTGACCAGCGAACATGAACAGAATAGACTACCAGACATGGTCAACCTCACTAAGGTACCTTGGGGCTCCAAGTATTGACTCACAGCCATGTCACAAGTCAACATGGATACCTTGGCCTTGGTGGTTTCCCTATTGCCTTGTATACCTTGGCCTTGGTGAAGTCAGATCACATCGAAGGGAGTTTTCTCTCATGTGTCGCCAGCAATTGCATGTCGGGGGGAGGTTAGGGGGTGCCAGTGGGGGGGTGCCCATGATCCATTCACTTAGGGAGTCAACTCCACCCCTTTACAACTGGCGTGAAACCTCCTGAGCAGAGCTCCGGTCGCCAAGGTTCCCTCGCGATCCCAAGCGGCTCACGCCCTGAGAAGAGGCATTTGGCAGTGACTATTGCATGGGTGAAAGGTGGGCATACAGTGACATACGCCCAGAGGAAACCAAGCTCCCAGATGTTGAGGCTGTCTACAAATCATACAGCATCCATACCACATGTCCTTCGTTCTTCGTCCCAGATTAGCTAGGCAAAAGTACCAACGTTGCAGTTGCTGGGAGCTGGACATGCCCATCGATCGACACCTTTGATTCGCGCGCGTGGCTCGTGCCAGGGACTCGCGCGGTGGAACCCCTCGAGGACGCGCCGCCCCCCGTGGTGAGTCGATGACGCCGAACTGCGGCGGAGACGGGGAGCGGCGCGAAAAAGGGAGCGAGGCGGAGGACTGGGTGCGAAGGGCTGGAAGCGGCTGGAAGAAGAAGAAGAAGCAGAAGAAGAAGAAGAGGCAAACTACACAACTCCTCTCACAATGGGCGGAAGGAGATGGGAACATATTCAATTACAACACAAATCCAGGATCACACGCCTCGACCAGGCGAGTGGGTCGGATGCTTTGACCAAAAGGCTAAGGCTGCAGAGGTGCAGAGCTTGGTTCAGCGAATCCATCCGGTTTGGACTTCAAGTACGTCGCACGTGCCCAATCTGATTATGCGAAGAGAAAAAACACCATATGACTCGGGAAACGACGGTGCCATACGTATTTATGTGAACTATTGTGAACTCTTAGTTTTGAAGCGAGCTATGAACACCGAGACTCTTGGAGGCTGTCTTCTTGGACGAGTTGGAGAGGTTCACTGCGAATCTTGTATAGTAATTGTTTTCAGTCTCAAGCATGCATGATTCAGAAGTTATGAATTAGGAGTACTCAACCTAACTTTTTGAGCACAGCATTAAATGTCCGATCAAAAACATGTCCATGTTTCTTGCGGAGGATCCCAGCAAGACTATGATACAACAGAAGCATATGTTGACATAAGCTTCCACCTTTAGACAAGCCGATGTGAACCGAAAACCGTCCTTTTTCCCACTCCAAAAAAAGCATTGGGCGACTTCCTCTGCTCCTCCCGTCCAGCAGATGGCAGTCACCGTCGGGGAGCCTCACTTGGTGCTCTGTGAATCGGGATGGTGCTTAGTATGTTTGCTCTCCGAGGAAAGTGGAAGTCGCATGTAGCCACTGCTTTGTAGACGAAAAGGGTCTTCTTCAGTGGGCCCAAGGATTCTTGTCTTTTAGACTGGGCGATGCTGGTGACATCATGATGAAAGATAATTAGCGCGTTACAAGCCACTTCATTAGTGGGACCCTGTAGTTGAGTTGTGTTTGCTCAATTGAGGTAGAGTCAGGTGCTTGTTTTGTTTTTTTTGGACTAGTGTGGGAGATGCATCTTATAAAGATCAAGTTTGGGACTGTGTCCGTCAAGCCCTCACTGCAGTTCAGATGTAGATGCTCCCTTTTTTCGTTGAAAGATCCCATGTTGAACATTATAAATGACCATGGGCACCTGTGCAAACAAATTATGTTTTACACAGCACCTACACCACACCAGTGACTGCTAATCAGCTAATCCAACCAAAGCTTTCTATAGACACTCTAGTTCAAGATTTGTTGGGCTTGGCTAAAAGGATCCATATTGTGAAGCCAGATCACGGTGTGGTTTCGCTTCATTCCAAACTACCCTCCGCTGTGCGTCCGCGACGGAGGCCACAGCCTTGCGCAAGCTCTCTGAGCGGAAGCCCAGCTTCCGACGGGTTTTGGCGGTGGAAGGGTTTGGGCGATGACTCTGGAGGGCCGGGCACAAAGAACGAAAGACACATACATGAAACTACGAGTTTTTGGGTGGATGCGGAATAGAATGCCATACTATTGGTCAAAAGCATTCCAGCCAAATGGACGCTTTTGACATATTCCACGTGTGCAACAACAACTTACTAGCCGCAAAGAACCACTGTCCTAGCATCCAGCATCTCAGGTGGACGCCGATGGGGGGTGTTGCAGAGCATCCATAGACATCGGTTGTTTCTGTCACATTCCTGAAGAACGAAGAAATCAGATCGAAAACGCGCCATGCTCTCGTCACGTGCGGCGTGCCGCAGCACATCGTCACCGGAGCCAATTCGGAGCTGAGGTGGTGTGTGAGAGCCGAGTTCCAGCGGCCTGCCAGGTGTGGAGATTGGAACGGGGGTGACAGCACCGACAGGGCCCTTCTTTTGGAGTAAACCAGCTCCAGCAGACTGGACAAGTGATACGAAAGTCCACCCCAAACGGACAGAACCTGAGGTTTTTGATGAATTTTGACATTGGGAAGGTTCAGGAGTTCAGGAGGAATAACATACAAAAAACACCTTTGGAGGATTTTGAAGGTATCACCTTGATCAGCCTGCTGCATGTCATGACGGCCCCGCAAAAGGCCTTGGCTGATGAACAGAATGTCCTGGGTGCCTCGGAGCTATAATATGCGTCGGCAGTATGGGCGATGTGCAAGAGACGCGCCAAGTATATCAAAACATGTGGGGAGCGCCAGCAGGCGCAAGGGCGAGCTCAAGTGGTTTTTAGTGATTGAAATCTTAGGTTTTGGCAAAACCCCATATATCCCTGCTAGAATACTGTATGACGTTTAGGACCATTCAAAAGAACGATCCAAGACCAACAAGTATAGGCCTGCTATAAAGGAATTCTTTCCTTCATAACGACGATTCATCAGGATTAAGAACGAGTAAGAAGGTTATCATATAACAATATTATACAGTATATATCAAGGAGATGAACATTATGCTTGGATATGCCCCAAAGACGCACAAAGTATGATCCTCTACCAAGAGTCACATGTCGGGGTGCCGAACGAACGGAGGAAGTCGGGGTGCCCCTGTCACATCCACGGCCCCTGGATGACCAAACACCACCCCAACATGTGACCCCGGTATATGTTTTGTTTCCCATTCAGCTCACACAGGATGCTTCGACCACATCGACTCCTCTCGGTGCCCAGGTCGCATCGTCTTCAAGTCGCGGAGCGCCCATCGCAGGTTCCGGGTTTCCGGGTGGTGACCGGGGCACTGGAGACCTCGTTGGAAATCATCATGGTTACGTGGATGGCATCGCAGGATGACGCAGGATGACGGGGCCATGTTCCGCAAGTGAGCAGAGATATTCTGCATTCCTTTGTGGGCCTGGGGTGGTTGAGAGAGTGGATTGAACGCCTGCCAGCCAAACAAATCGCAGAATTTCATGGCGTTCTTCACTTTGGGAAAGGATTGAAGTGAGATCATGTTTGGTCGATGACCACATTCCTGCAACCATTATTGTCAATCAGTCGGAGTTGTGTATTTCGACATATATTTCAAGAAGGTGGTAGAGGATTAGAGGTGGCAAGCAAACCATCCTAACAGGCTAGAAGACTGCCACCAAAAAAGGCCCAGACTCGCTAATTCCTTGTAACCGTCGAGTCTACATGTAGCTATGAGATCCAAAGACACGTTCGTGCCATCCTTGTTCGACAGGCGAGTTAGACAGCCCAGTTCCCATCTTGGACGTGTCGCACCGTTGCCAGGCATCGACATCACAACTACTTGACAGCGACCTTCAAGGCGTTCCCGTTCCTCGAGAAGTCCCTGTTTTCCCAACCCAATTGGGTGGGGCAATACCTCCGGGCCACACTATCCAGTAAAGAGGCAGGATCTTGACAGATTCTGGTAGGTAACCCAGGTAGATCATGGTAGTTTTCTGGCAGGATCTTGACAGATTCTATAGCAGATCATGGTGGTTTTTCTCGATGGTTCAACTGTTTGTAGTCCACCAGGTTCGGCAGAGAGGCGATCTTTGTAGTCCACCCGTCAACATCCCATCTCGCCAGGTTGTTTGTTCTCCACGGTGAGTGAACTGTGGCAGGGATGATGTGCGTTCATTGACTTTGGACTGTCATTTCAGGGCGGTCCACTGACGTCTTGTTTGGTGCGGTTAGGAAGCAGATGAAAGTTGGATCCAAAAATCACTCTGATTCTTGTTTGGTGGGCCGTGTTCCATCAAGCCACCTACCAACAATGCACGTGACCACTTGTATAGCTTTACCCACCAGAAAAGAGCACGTAACCATCCACCAAAACTCACCACGCGCCCCCACCTCGTCGTCTACGACCCGTTGGATTCCCGCCCCCACCTGACCCTGCGCGGCGCCAAGTTACTGTGCTCGCCAGGCCGTGGAGGTCTTGCTGGGCAGCGCGAAGACCTTGGAGTTGCAGACATTGGTTCGACCTCCTCACTCGCTTTTTTGGGATCGGACCTCTTTCCGCTAGGGCCTAGGGATCCAGAATTAGCTTCTCAGAAGGTACTTGGACCCTGCAAGCTCACCACCTTCTCAGAAGGTTGTGGATCCATAGGGTTCGGATAGCGGGGATACCTTGGGCACACTGCGTTCCCAAGGATGCTCCGCCAAGTGCAGTAGCATGTGAGTGCGAGTGGTGCATCTAACGTATGAGATATACGTAGTGAGCAAGGCAGAGGACTCAGAGGACCATGAGTACCATCAGCTCCAATTCTGTCGATGGACTCCGAAAGCAACGTTTGTTGCTTTTCCAACATTGCGGGGCCTTGTGGTTGCGCACTGTTTTTCATGGACGATGATGGCCCCTTCCTGTTTGAACAGCTGAGTGTGCTGCTGCCATGGGGCTCAAGGTGTCGCTGCAGCTGAAGGGCAGCGAAAAGACGTCGCTGCAGAGCCAAGACATGTGCTTCAACGACTGCCATTTTCAGGCCTGAAGAAGCCTCTTCTACAAGAGAAAGAAGGAGCACCAGTGGCTGCAGTGTCTTTTTGGAGAGGAGGCTCTCATGTTCCACTGACTTAGCATCCAAGCGCGGCCCTTAGCTTCGGCTTCAACCCCAAAGGAAGGCAAAATAAGTTGGTTTCCTTTCCAGCATGCCACTTAAAGATCGGCAGACTTCACATGAAGTAGCTACGAATGGGTTCCTTGTCCTTTGGTTTAAAGTAGTGAGTTGTAACCTATACTATCCTTTGGTGCTGTTCCATGGTTGCTTCCCAAAGCGGTTCTTTTGCGCACTCACTTGCCCTCAGCAAGTCAACCCTTGGGACTGCCATCCATCTTCGCTGGGCTTTGGTGCCATGGCCAACTTGATTTCATCATGGAGGCAGCTCTCTTGGAGTGGGTCAATGCATTGGATGTTCCTTGTTTGCAGAGTCATCTGTCATCCGTGCTGGTTGTTGCTATAGGCACTTACTATAGGCGAAGGTGGTGATGTTTGGACTTGCAATGCCGAACCGAAAGGAATTTCATCCATCACATCCTCCCACGTATGTGCACATGCGCTGGTCCAGACAGCAACGAATCTTTCTTGGCTTCTGCCACGGGGTCCATCTGGAGGTTGGAAGTTTGCTGAGATAGCAGGTTCAGGATGGTTCAGGTAGTGGTTCAGGTAGATTTGGCTGAGGTCCAAGTTGTTTTCCTTTTTTCCTTTTGACTGGTTCCCACCTCCCCCTTTGGGTACCAGCAGAAGCAATGGAGGACCATCCATTTTGCTGAAGCCTGATGATACCTGGGAGGGATTCATCCCTTCCCATTCAGCTCCGTTCAGCTGCCCTTCCACTGCCCTAAAAAACTATACCACACACCTCAGAGGCGTCATGTGTTTGGTTTCTGAGAACCTCCGCGGCTGTGAGGTGGTGCAGCAGCACGTGCGGAGCTTACGAGATCTCGCCGATGGCGAGCTCTTGCTGCAGATCATGCGCGATATCAACCCGCAGGACCGGCGTTTTCGGGTCCTCCTGCTTGGGTGAAGGACACTCAGGAGCTGTTGCCTCTTTCAGGTGCTGATGACATATGATGACAAGGTTCAGTTCAAGTTTTTAGGTGGGATTTGGGATTTGGGTTGCATTCCATCTTCGAGACTCATCACAAAATGTATTGTTGACCAAACGCGATTCCACAGAAGTCCTTCCAATCCATCCAACACCTTTGAGGTCTTCCACACCTTTCTACACGAAGACACAAGCCCCCGGCCCCCTCCCACCCTTCAGCAGTGGTCCTGGCGGTCGCTCGAGGACTTCTCTGGTTCGGGCACCGCGCTGGACGTGCTCCGCGCCGGGCTGCAGCAGCACTTCGCCGGGCGTCCGGCTGCGCGGCACGTGGCGCAGCTGGGCGCAGGGCCGGGGTCGCTGGTGCAGCTGGTGATGCTCGGCGGAAGAGATCGGCAGAAGAGCCCTTGTGGAGATGTGTTCCAAGTGAAGTTCTGTGACTTTTTGAGCATGGATTCATGGATTGGGTGCTTTTCAGTATTTTTTGCTTGATGTTGCTGGTGCTTGGTTGTGGTTCGACAGATTTTTACAATATTCAATATTCCCACCAGTAGATCCCAGTGCAAGAGATATCAAGAGATACGTTTTCACACGCTCCGCTTTCGCTCTCTTTTCGCTCGTCGCAGAGGATCTGGGCCACCTTGGACAATGACCTTCCGAAGCGAACAAAGTACGTCCAAATCTGTCAGCAGCTGAGCGCCCACTCGGCGCAGCAGTCGCTAGGGCGCAGGTCTCGACCGCGGTCGAGAGACTGAGTATAGGGGGGGAAGGACCACCTCCAGTAAGGTCCCAAAGCAGCTTCAAGTTGTAAGCATTTGTGTGGAGAGATTTGTGTTATTCCACTGATCTTAGTTACTCAAGGATCAAGCTCTTTGTGTATACAAGTATAGTTGCTAGATAATCACATTCCTTGCTGTTGGACGGACAACGCCACATGCACACACCCCAGGTGTTTCCATTTGTTTGATTCTTTTGGGGGACACCGAGACTGAGACCTTCATTTCGCAAGGTACCCGCCACCTGCCTGCTTCACTGCTGAGGATCATGCTCTTAGCCGAACGCTTCAGTGAGGAACCCGAGACGCCGGAGGCCGGCGGCGTCAGCGGCCGTGCCTCGAGCGCCTTCGGCAGCATGATGCCACGTGCCTTGGGCTGCACGGCTTTTTGGGGAGGCGGTGATGCAAGAACGGCCGGAGTCTTGAATTCAAGGCGTTTGTTGTAATGTTGGATCCTGATTAGTAAATGGTACCTCTATAATGCTAATGTTTTTTTGGGCCCTAAATTTTTAAATTGGAAAACAAATTAATAAGGGTTTGAATTCCTTCTGAGGCCAATGATTATGATTCATTAAATTAGCTGATATAGCTTTCTCTAGGTTTCTTCAAAACTGACAGCTGACCGAAACCACCAATTCCCCAATTAAACCCTTTATAAAACATTGCTCCCAAACAAATTTTC